GAGGTGAATTCATACCTTTCTCAATGGTATTTGAATGTCAGTGAATGTAACAAACACAAGTGGAATTTGAACAAAACAAGAAGATTTTCTGAAAAATTATTCGGTAAATTTGCAATTTAAGCCCCACCCACCAATTATAATTAAAGTTTCCTGAAAATTTCTTTTTTGGTGTAAATTTACATGTTTTTTTTCCAAAATAACAGTATTAGTTTATGGAAATCTACCATTTTGGAATTATCGACAATAAAAGTTTGGCCTCATTCACATCAGGTCCATCAGCTATTACTGGTGTTGTTTATATACGTTTGCCTCGAGTCAGTCATACGCGGAAGCTTACTTAGTTAACAGCTTTTTACTGATCTTCCTATCTTCTTACTTGTCTCGATTATAGTGCAAAACCAAAAGAAGTCTTTAGATACTTTTGAAAGTGAAGCTATTTATGTAAACAATGCCATTAATGGCTGCCGTGCTGTAGCCGTGATACAAATGAGTCCAAACTTTTATTGTTGATAACTCCTAAATGGTAGATTTCCGCAAACTTTTACTGTTACTTCTGAAATAAGCATGTAAATATACATTGACATAAAAAATTTTCAGGAAATTTTAATAACAATTAGTGTATGGGGCTTAAACTGCAAATTTACCAATAATTCTGATATCTGCTCATTTGGCAAGATATGGTAAGACTGAGAACTACTCAGCAACAATATATATTTTAATCACTTATTTTAAAATACATTAAATGATATTTTCCATTATAAATATGCATTAACACTGATACAGTTTATTCATCGACTGTGTTAAAGAAGTAGAATTAATGAGAATGTTAAAATTCTTTCCCTCCAAGTTTCAAAATTTGTGCATGTTATCATCAAAACAGAATGGAAATATTTATCAATTAAGCCCAACCTAAATGCAGATTTAACATTTTCCCATATTATAATATCCCTTAAAGCATAAATATATTGTATCAATGCTGAAAATGTCAGACAAAATATTTTAAAGCTAAATATCTATCATCTACATCCTTAGAACTTTCACTTACTACCACCTCGTCTTTCATTCATATCGTACACTTATCAGAACCATTCTAATAGTAACTATATACACTATCTTTACAAGTGTCAGATCAGACCAAAAAGAGAGTGTTAAATATTCTGACACTTGTGTTCCTACCTAGGATTGAACTCACCATCCTTGGCTAACAAATCTCTGAAGATATTACACTTCTACTTCTCACCTTAATGGATGTGTTCCAAGCAGTGGCAGTAGCAGGCTTGTCTCCCTTCCTGCCTAAGCAGATTTAATCGTTAAGCATTATTTAAGTTTATTGAAATTTCTCCTCATTGAAATATTTTCTATTGTTTGTGAAGTGCTATCAGTCAGTTTATTGATCAAGATCCTGCTTTATCAGAGTATTGCTGCTATATGTGGGCTGGAGCACCTCAATCCTCACTTTCCAGCCTTGATAGAGTCTTTCTGCTATGCATCATCTTTGCAAGAGTCAGATTAGACCCAAAATGGAGTATTGCTGCCATATCTGGGTGGGAACTGCCGAATCCTCACTTTCCTGCCTTGACACTGGGCACTTCGACATGGTGTAATGGTTAGCAAGCTTGTCTGGCTAGATCAGTTATGACTGAAAAGTCAGTTCAATCTTCACTAGGTGCCCCATACTTTCGGCCTTCTGCCACATTTAAGCTATGATGTGGCCTTGTGGATAACAAATTATTTTCCAGCACTGAAACTGACAAAATGTCACAAGCCTATTGCTACTCTATTGCAATTTCCATGGAAAATGTTCTGACAGACTACATTCCTTAGTTCCACCAGTTCCGGCCTTTATAGTCAAACACAGCTATGCCACTGGTCAAACCATCCTAATTCACTTCATATTCCATTAGTAAGAAGGAAGTTCCATTCAGACAGCTTTCTGCTACTGCTTGTGGAACAGACTCCCAAGAGGATGCCTCCCTAATCACTAGGATCTTTAAGTGTAAGGATCAACTGTTAGCTATCCAACATAGCTTCATAATCTACAATTATTACAGTCATAAAACAATCTCATTCAGTAAGCTTCTACCTTGAGTGGCTCTTGGACTTTGTATTGGATGAACAGTCATTCAAAAAATTAGAATCACCTAGACAGGTAAAAAACAACAACAAATAACCTTGAGACCAAAAAATGTCTGAGCAATTAATAACTGAGAAAAAAATGAGAAAGCCACACCCACCCAGAGGTGCAAAATTCTGAAGAACTTTTGCACTTCATAAAGTTCATGTAGGTGCCTTAACAGGCGTTACTTTTTGCAGTTTCCCATTTTTCTTTCAGGGTCAACTATTATCTATCTATCCTCATAATCTACAATTCTTACATTTTTTTGTCCATAAAACAAACTCATACTGAAAGCCTTGTATTAGGTGAACAATACATAAAAAGAAAAGAATCTATCTTAAGTGGCTCTTGAGCCTTATATTGTGTGAAATTTATTTTATTTACATTATTTAGACTGTTATCTTCATCGTCATTGCCATATTCACAATATTTGTTATATACTCCAGCCTTTTTCCAGTGAGTGGAATTTCAAACTGAACCCTTGATTTTGTCCATCAGGGTAGATTGTTCTAGTTCCATGTGCCATGCCTCTTCCAGATGTCTCAATTATTTCCCTTTAACTCAATATGTTTTTTGGTTCACTACTGCTGTAGCCTGGTATTGAACTCACAACTCTTTGGGTCTAGTCACTGGATCTAACCAATGTCTTTATCCACTACGCCATGTGTTCTTGTAAATATGGCAATGAAGATGAGGATAACATTCCAAATAATATAAAAAATCATAATACCTCATCTCATCTCATCTCAATGTGGATTGATTTTTTTTTTTTGGAGATATAGACAGATATTGAAATTTATTTTATATTAAAAAAATATCCTTTATCTGGAAAGCATTTTTAAAAGTTGTTATAGGATCTTACCCATAATAATAATAATAATGGACTATTCCATACTTAATAAATACTGCACCTCAGGAGTAGTTCAAGTCGAGTCAGTAGCTCAAGTCAAGTGTCGAGTCAGAGGCAGTCCGAAACAGAGTCGCGTTCAGACAATTACTGCAAGACATTGGAATAGTGATACTGGTCGAGACTACATTGTTCTTTCTACTAAACCTGAGTGTTCATACTAACACTTCTACTTCTCTGTATATATTCCTGTTTGTAATATATCTGTGTTTATTCCATACCTGTGTTCGCATTCTTCTTTATTGGTTCTACCTTGGACTATCACCGTGGTACAAGGAACCAGACCATAACAAAAGTCAATTAACTTTCTGACCAATTTCATAAATCTGAGTGAAGATCTTCAATAATATATAAACAAGAGATTTTAACGTTAATAATATGAAGAGAAATTTAATGTAAATATGTGATGATAAAACGGAAGATAAAGAAACTGGTATAAATGAATCAATAATAATAATTCATAGGGAATAGAAAATTTTATTAAAGTTTTAAGAAGAAAAAAATTATATACCTCTAATATATGACTTCACCGAATATCTGGATCTGATCTAATAATGGAAGTAAATCAATCGACAAAGTTGTACACACCTACATGCTTAGTGAAGACCCTAATGGTAAATAATTTCAAACCTCAACAAGAATACAACAATGAGGAAATGAGAGCACAAAGTATTTAATCTCTATCTAGACTCCATGCTGCATGTGCACAGATGTAAAGCAATGGACTGAGAATATTTAAGTATGTGGAATCCGTTGGTCACAAGACACCATGGATCTGTACCCACAAAAGTTATGTCTCAGCTGCTGATGACAGTGCAGCATCTTTTATGGCTGTACAGATCCACACAAGATACATGTGAAGACGCTCTCCTCTAGTGTCACTGTGTTGTTTTCTTTCTTTCAAGCACACTTCACCCTGGTTGCAAGCCTTTGTTTCTTCTCTCCCTGATTCAGCTCTTGGTGTAAATGGTATCTTCCAGTGTAAGCAATTGTTGGTGACATCTTCCCACCTCTTGATATCTGTCACCCTCATATCACTTTTGCAGATGTCCTTGAAGCAAAGATGAGATCATCCTTGTGACCTCTTGCCAGTGGTCAGTTTTCCACACAGAAGGACCTTTAGAATCCTCACAGCAGTAGACTGTTGCTTCCAGTGTTTTGCTATCATGGTGAGGCAACACTGGAGTGTCCTCTTCAGGGTGCAGACCTGAGGAGGGTTGTATGAGAGATCAGTGGTTGAAAAGAGGATTCCTGTTTTCTCTCCCAAGGCCAGTGTATTGATGATGATGGGTGCTATGCTGATGATATAGGTATACATAGATGGTTTAAGAATGGTCTTAAACTGTGATAGTGGAACACACCTATTCTATAGTTAATAGACTCTCCCACCTATAATAAGTAGGAGTAGTAAGAGTAACAAGTGAGTCGGCAGGGAGCTGGTCAGTCAGTCAATGTCGGACGACCGTGAGTCGGATATTAAAGTATCAGCCACCACAACTAGATTGTTGTGTCATTACCTATTATATCAAGTTCCTAACATTTTGTACGTTGAACCTATTTTAAGACCAACTTAGAAAAATACAAGCCTCCACTGTGAAACCACTATATAACATAAACAAAAGATCAAAGTTCATTAAGACGTATTCCAAGAAGAAAGTCTCTTCTTTCCAAAATAGAAACTATGATCTGGAATTGGAATGAAAGCAATGATCCCACACACACACACACACAGAGAATCCATCATAAAAATTCAGAATGTAGATTATTTGACAACTTATCAACATTTTAAAGATTATTTAAAGCCAGAAAATAATTTTAGAATGTAAGAATTTTTTGGAGATAATGATTTACTGATACAAATCCTACTAATTAACCCATAGCTGGAGAAAATGAGGTGGATTCATAACTTGAAATAGAACACAGCTCTCTAATTTCCACTGCCAATTCATTATGCATTACACCACCTGCACACCCAAGCTTACAGCACCTGGTATTCCCAAGTGATCACCCATCTAGGTACTGACCAGGATTAATGTTGCTTAACTTCGGTGATCGTATGAGAACTGGTGATATGGCCATGAGCTTTTGGAATGTGAAATTAGTAAATGCTAAACATCCCAAATATGGTTCAGTTATAACAAATTTAGCATAGGGCATAAGGAAACTGAACACAAAGCAGACTATGCTGGAAATAGTTTTACTGTAAGATGCTAAAAAAAAATTAAACATAATCCTAAGAACTAAAGTCCTGTTCTTAATTAGCCTTGTTAAATCTCAAATCTCATAAAGATGTCATGCAAAGCATTCAGTAATGTTAAAACTATCAAATCAATATCACTGTTTTCTCAGATTAATGATTAAAAATGACTTAAAGAGTTGGTCAGTAAGAAGACAATCTCTCATCAACTCTGAAAGACTGGCACTACAGAATCACAAAGAACTGTACCAAATAACAGAAACCACATCACTTGAGCACTTTCAGCAGCAGCAACAACTAAAGTCAATAACTTGAAGCTAAAATAATGGCATAATTAAGACATTGACCTTCCACACTACTTCAAACAAAAGGTTAGGAAGGAAGGCACAGTCAAATCTAGAAAGAGAGATAACAGTGAATTTCAGAAAACTATTTTCCAGAAAAACTGTTTTAAGAAGATTTTATAAATTTCGACGTGTTTCCATTTAAGAAAACAGTTAATCTTACTATTACCATGTGTATATATATATATATCATATTTATTCAAAAATTATAATATAAGCATATAATATCATCACTACAAAAATAGCTATTTTGTCAATTGATAGTGTTGATGGTGTCTTGTGAAGTGATGGTGTTGATTACAGAATAAAGAGGTTTTCCTTTATTCTGTAATCAACACCATCACTTGACAAGGCACCAGAAGTGTTGAAACAAAATGGCTATTTTGTAGTGATGTTATAAAATGTTTATGTTATAATTTTTGAATAAATACTACTTGCTCTACTATGTATTGAGCACCCTTTTAAGAATAATGTTTTTGGCTTTTGGAATTTTACTTCATCTATATCAATCCTGTACTTGTGTGTATGTGTGTGGATATAAAAAAAAAAAACCATTAAGTGACTATAGTACTTTTATCAGTTGCCTTCAGATCTTGGCCTTTTGGCTAAGATCAAAGTGTAATATCTGTTCTTATCAGCTTAATCTGATTCCTTCTCTCCACTTCTATCTTCCCTTCTTTCTTTCTTTCTTTCGTCTTCTCACTGAAGCCAAATAATGTCTTTTCCTCTCTTTCAAGCAATCAAAACAGAATAGTCCATTATTTATAGGCATAAAATAACAGCTCAAATACAGATTAATTTTTGAAGGCACACATGGAGCCATGGTTCAAGAAAAAGTCAAAAGCTTTCCTAAAGATAGTATCACAATACTCCATCTCATTCAGCCGAGAAAACTAATTAATATCTGAATAAAATAGGTTTTAAAAACATGTTTGATGAATTGGCTGGCTTCTTTGCATGACCTTAATCTGACTAAAAACTTGTAGCATATTGTGAAGAGGAATTGTAGAGGAATAAAGACAATTTACCAGTGAATACAAATATTAGGATGCTATGCAAGCTGTATTATATGAAGAAATTCAACAGCTCACAAAATCAGTTAACAAACAGCTTGTCACACTATTTTTCAGAAAATAGAGTAGACATTTCACAATTAAGTTATCTTTATAACATTGTCACCATTACTTAAATATATAGATACTTCTTTTCTATTAAAGTTTGTGACCATTCTGCATATTATTATTTTTAATTAGAACATAAGGTTTCTTGTTTAGGCACCTTGACATGGTATAATTGTCAGCAAGCTTGTCTCACTAGAACCCTTACAACTGAGTAGTGAGTTTGATCCTCACTAGGTGCCCCATACATTTGGTCTTGTGCCACATCTAAGCTGTGTTTAGAAAATCACCCTACATTTTCTTGTAGCCTCAGTAACTTGTTTAATTAAATAGTGGAATATTCGACACAGTAATAATGCAAATTAGTATCTGTCTATATTTCTGAAATGAGGTATTATGTACACCATTTACATTATTTGGACTACTGTCCTCATTTTTGTCGCCATATTTATTACAACGTTTCGCCCTTTCAGTATCTGTCTATATTTCTGAGATGAGGTATTATGTACACCATTTACATTATTTGGACTATTGTCCTCATCTTTGTTGCCATATTTATTACAACGTTTCAGCCTTTCAGTATCTGTCTATATTTCTGAGATGAGGTATTATGTACACTATTTACATTATTCGGACTATTGTCCTCATCTTTGTTGCCATATTTATTACAACGTTTCGCCCTTTCAGTATCTGTCTATATTTCTGAGATGAGGTATTATGTACACTATTTACATTATTCGGACTATTGTCCTCATTTTTGTCGCCATATTTATTACAACGTTTTGGCCGTTGTATGCTCCAACCTTCTTCAGGCGGTTGGAATGTCGAACGGAACCCTTTATTTCACAAGGTTGATAAAGGTGTTAGTTAGATCGTGTGATAGGACCCAAAGAGTGTGAGTTCAATACCCGGTTAATGCAGTGGAGAACTTGCAGAGGGGAATTAACAGGAGATAACTGATAACTTATATCTATTAAACATGGCATGTGGAACTAGAACAGTCTACCCCAGTGAGTAAGATAAAGGGTTCAGTTCGACATTCCAACCACCTGAAGAAGGCCGGAGCATACAACGGCCGAAACGTTGTAATAAATATGGCGACAAAGATGAGGACAATAGTCCGAATAATGTAAATAGTGTAATGCAAATTAATTTACTACAAACTGGGAGAAATTAAAAGTAGCTAATAATATGTTTTTTACTCCTTATCAAGCCTTTGTATGATATTTAAGGCAAGAAAATATATTTAGATTGTAAGAATTTTTGTTTTTTTAGGGATACAAATTTTACTAATTAACCCATAAACGGGGGGGAAAAAGAGGTGAATTCATACCATACCCAAAGCTATTAACACATAAATGAATATAAAAAACATGACTGATTTGGTTTAACGGTATACCAACTCCTTTTCTTGGGAGCTTTGGTAATTTTTTTTTTAAATGTTTTGCTGGTAATTTTTCTCTTCCTTTTCTAATAATGTGTTGCTGGTAATTTTTTTTTTATTATGTAAATGGTGTTCTTACTACAAAAATGTATTTTTATAGTTTTATATTTTGATCTTAGTTCAGGATTTCACTATTTGCCCATAACTGGGACCCTAACAGGTACTTCAGGTGAGGGTGCACCTAGGAACAACAGCAGTTAAGAGGTGGTTCCATGCTCCTCAAAACCAACCAGTTAGAAGACTTGCTGCCAGATGTAGTTTATCGTCATACCCAGGATGAGAACCTGACTGGAATTGGAACTCAGCTCAAAGATTAACAATTCTGAGTCATTATTCATTACATTGAAGCTTACAGCACCTGGTATTCCGAAGTGATCAACCATTTAGGTACTTAACAGGGTCATCATTGTTTGACTTGGGTGATTATTAATGTAAGACAGTCAATATATAAATATATACAGTAGACAATGCCTTTAAAACCAAACTGGTTACATTCCATCACCACCAATCAGACCCTCAAACTACTGCCAGTCACGATGAATGGATGGCTTCTTGAGGAGACCCCATGACTCAAGAGCATACTGTGGCTCAAACTCATACTTGACCTCAAGTAGAATTTCTTATAATGATCCATCACTAAAGATGCAGGTAAAATGATCAGATACCTGTACCGGTTCAGGAAGTATCTGACTCCACATGCCATCCTCTACCTTTATAAGAGCCAGATCAGGTTGAAAATATAGTACTGTTGCCATATTTGGGTGGGATCTGCCCAGACCTCAATTTCCAGTCTTGAGTTCAAGATCAGATCTGAGTCCTTGTTGGAGAAGAATTATTTTTCAAGATCTCCAATCTCTCTCTCACAGTTGGGATATGGTGACTCTCTCACAGTTTTATTGCTCCTTGCATGGAAAGTGCTCAAATGAACAGCATCTCCTGGTTCCACCAAGTCATACCTTTCATGATTAGGACCCACCATGCCACTTACCTAGTAGCAAGCCACCCACCATGTACACAGGGTTAACCCATTTTTGTTTCCCTTGATATTCCATTAGTAAGGTGGAAGTTTCAATTAGTTTCTTCCCTAGAACTGTTTCGTTGTGGAAAAAACTCCCAAGTGGATGCTTCCCTGATCATTGTGATTTTCTAGTCTAGAGTCAACCATTATCTACATAACATATCCTCATAATATACACTTTTTACTTCTTCCATTTATGTCAGTCTAATTCACTAAGTCTCTACCTTGAGTGGCTTTTGGGCTTTGTATTGAATGAACGACAGTATAAGAAAGAAAATGTTAAAAGAAAAGAGTGAAGAAAAAGCATGACAGGACAGTGAAAAGTAAAAAGGTGAATCAAAAAGAACTGAAAAGAGAAAAAAGAAAAGGTAAAAAGAAAGAGGTAAAAGAAAAGGTAAAAAGAAAGAGGTAAAAGAAAAGGTAAAAGAAAAAGTAAAAAAGAAAGAGGTGAAAGAAAAGGTAAAAAAAGAATGAGGTGAAAAGTAAGAAGAAAGAGGTAAAAGAAAAGGTAAGAAGAAAGAGGTGAAAGAAAAGGTAAAAAAGAAAGAAGTAAAAGAAAAGGTAAAAAAGAAAGAAGTAAAAGAAAAGGTAAAAAAGAAAGCGGTGAAAGAAAGGTAAAAAGAAAGAAAAGGTAAAAAAGACGTGAAAGAAAGAGTAAAAAAGAAAGAGGTGAAAAGTAAGAAGAAAGAGGTGAAAGAAAAGGTAAAAAAAATGAGGTGAAAGAAATGGTAAAAGAAAAAGTAAAAAAAGAAAGTGGTGAAAAGTAAGAAGAAAGAGGTGAAAGAAAAGGAAAAAGAAAGGGGTGAAAGAAAAGGTAAAAAAGAAAAAAGCATAATGAAAAAGGAGAACTTGGAGATTTAAAAACTCATAGGAAAAGCTGAAGGCAAGACAGGAAGAAGGGAAATAGCAATAACCTAACAAACGAGTTTGTGTACATGGATGGAAGAACAGGATGTGGGAAAAGTCATAGAAAGACAAACATTGCTAAGAGCTTCAACATATAGGAAGTTGTAGAGAACCACGATCACCCATGTCCTGAAGAAGATCATTTCCAATAAAATTCAAAATGTTTGTCCATAATCTGATCCTATATTAGTAAAACAAGAAGCCAGAATGCAATTCAATGAAGATGTTTCATATAACTTTAGATGGCACTAGATACAGTCAGGTACTGTCTGAGTACATGAAGTAGAAAGAAAAAAAACTGAAATATTTGCCAAATGAAGACAAAAATAAATCTAGAATTTTGGTAAAGGTCTAAGAAATCATTACTTTGCAATTTCTTTGTGTTTCTCAACTATAAATATATATAAGAAACAGAAATAGGCTGTACTGTATCTTCTGCCAAGTTTGATCAAAGAGAAATAGAAATGCATTTCTTACTTCATTTTTTTCATATATAATCTTGAGTTTCTGTCATTCTTTTTGTTGTGAGCTCTTTATATGCTTTTCTTTATTTCCTATAATGTCCATATTGTTTTTTACGTATATCTATACCAAATAAATTTGGACAATTTTAAACCTCCAGCTTTCTAATGAATACCAGGATGTAGACAACAGAATCTTGTCTACCACACAGACACAACATGGTTCTTGAAAATAGCTGAGACAGTTGAAAACACTTCAACAAAGCAAGAGAACAAACATGAACTTCATTCAAATACAATAAAAATATTAAACAGATGGACCTTGTCAGTTCAATTTAGTCAAACTTGCTTGGACAGAATACTTGCTGTTTTTATATATATATATATATATATATATAGTGGGTATATTGCCAAGTGGTTAGAATGTTTGCATTCTGATCATGACCATGAGACCCGGGTTCAAATCTCACCATGGTCGAATTGTCAGGAAGGAGACTTCCTGATGTTATTGGACTTGAGGGTTCAATCCCAGCATGCGGCACCTTTGGAAAGTGCCTGAAAACCATGCCAGGGGTTGACCCAAGTCTTGTGAGTGAAATTGGGTAGATGAAACTCTTGAGGGCCATCAATAGCTGTGCTAGTATGAACTCACATGTCGTCGTGGTAGAGGGCTTGAGGGTGCTGGCCTTGTTCAAATTGTCGATCACGCTAGATAACACGCTCTTTCCCAGAAACTGTAACTAAGGTCTGCTCAGCATAGTTGTAGTATAAACCACAGGTTGTCACTGTGGGTGTTGTAAAAATACAAATGCACCTGAGCAAGCATCTGCAATAGGGATTGGCTAGCTGCCCTAGTAGATGAGTATCCTCGAATGAGTGGCCAGCTCTACTATATATATATATATATATATATATATCTCCCATCGTATTCAATATATAAGGGTCAAACAGCTCAGTTCCTAGAAACCGACAGCCAGACAACAACACATGATTTGATTATAGTGGTGAAGGCTTTGCGCAGAACCAACCGCACTTTTTGAAAAGTCAAATACAGAGACCTGGTGCCACAAGATCCCCAAACGACTCTCCGCAGGTTTTGCGTTCAGAGTTGTCCTTCTCCTAGACTAGTTGGCATCTAAGGCTATAGAACTCATAAGAGGATTGATATCTTTCCCAAACGAATTAGCACGTAAGTGAATGTAATGGATTCAACTGGAATTCAAGCTCACCTATCCGATTCCTCAGTCTGAGCTGCTATCCACTACCCCACCGTGTGTATATATATATATATATATATATATATTATAAATTAACTGAGTTAAAAGATGTTTTTTGCTACACAGTTCTAATCATGTTTCAAAAATATATATATATCTTACTGTTCTTTTTCTTTTTATTTATATATATATATATATCTTACTGTTCTTGAGTTTTATATATATATATATATATATATTAGACATAAAAAAATAATGGTATATAAATATTTATTTTATAATTAATGGTTCTTAGTGAATATTAATGAATGTCTGCATATTTTTTGACAGACAATTTCAAACGAAGTTTTTAAATAAATATATATATATATATATATATATATATATATACACACACACATATATATATATATATACACATACATATGAACATACGTATGAACATATATGATGAAAAAATGCCTGAAACTTAATAAAATAAAGTTTATCATCAAAATCTTTATGTTATTATTAAGAGAAAACACCAGAGGATTTTTGATTATTAAATTATATTTTTTAATCTTTTTAAAAACCTTCAAAATTTTGGTTAAGTTTTTTTTTTTTTGCCAGCACATAACCATAAATCAGTATGGAAAATTTTAATATCTTTTATTGGTGAAAAACACACTGATTTGTAAATTCTTTCAAAAATCAGGTAACAGTTGGATTTAAATGAAACTTTCAGGTGTTATTCAGAAATGAGTGAAATCATTTCATTTTTTAGAAAATCTTGGTAAAAATATTTTTTATATCTGTTAACTCCAAAGACGCCAATTATTTAATTTTATAAAAGTTCATGTAATTAATTTTTTGTAGTGCTTAATGTTTATATTAGTTATAAGCAGAAGTCCTTGGAGAATTTAAATCATCAATTATTTTTTTATTTGTAAAACAAGTCACCCAGTTACAGAAATTCTGCTCTGAATCATAAAATAAAAGATGCAATAAAACATAAAATAAGACATTATTTGATTAAAAAGCTTTTAATAATTTTTATGAATAAGATATATTATCAATGCTATTGTGTTAAGAAAACAAAATTTTGATCTGTAATGACTTTTTACAAGAATTATTTTCATATTATTTTAATTAAAATAATTTATAGAGTTTTAAATTTTTTAAAATTATGTTTCAATTTACAGAGGTTATATGATATTGTTATTAAGTAAAAACTATATTTACTAATTATAAGTGGAAAAGCTTACTGCAATTCAATGACCCCCAGTATTTTAAAAAGTATTTTGAATTTTCTTTTTTAGTGTGTATAAATGTGTCAATTTTTTGTAAATATAGACCACCATGCACAACATTATCAGAAAATAAGAGCAATAACTACAATAAATTTAGAATTTATTGGTAATTTTCTAACATTTCCTCAACAAGCATCTTCGTTAGTAAGACTATAAAGCCAAAGTACCTAAAATTCGATAAAATATGCTTTGAATATTTTCCAAAATTATTAAGATTACTGGCTTGGTCAAAAAAATTAATGAGATAAAATAGGCGTTTAGGTTATATTTGTCCAGAAATTCTTACAGATGTGACCTTGTAGAAAAAATTCCCAATCTATTGAGTGAAGTCTCTACACCTCATAAAAACACTCACCTCTGTGTTAAAAGCATTTTCCTACGATATTTGCAGCTAAAAGTAAGTATATTTTATTTGTAAAAGATATTTTAAGGAAGAGATAATTTCACTCAATTTAAATTCTGTTTGTAATACAACAATTTTTTACTAGAAATAACAAAGATAACCTATTAGCTTGAAATTAAAAGCAAAATGAGTCCTTCAAGAGAGATTTTTAATATATAAACGTGTACAAACATGCCGATCTTTCTAAATACATGACAACATCAGAAAATAAGAGCAGTAACTACAGTAAATTTAAAATTTATTGGTAATTTTCCTACATTTCTTCAACAAGCATCTTTGTCAGTAAGACTATAAAGCCAAAATACCTAAAATTCAATAAAATAAAATATTAGATTACTTGTTTTAATTTTAATTCTTTAAATCAGCTAATCTTGCTAAAGTTTCAGAAAAGTATATTTTATTTTTGAAAGATTTTCAGTAAACAGAATTACATTTTGATGAGAGAATTGTAAATATGCTATCAGCTATTTTAAATGATTTTCCAAAAAAACAAAAAAATCCTTCCCATCAATTTAATTTCATGTAGAATAGAAATATAGTTTTAAGGTGTGATATATTGATAGTGCTCAATATCAGAGATAGAGTATATTTAAATATAAAAGTGAACACTGATGTCAATACTCAGAGGTGACAGATTGTTTCATGCTAAACACAATTACCAGGCCAGATGTGTTGGTTTTTTTCTCGACTATTTATATATATGAGTCAATGGTTCATTGTGGGTAGTCTAACTGTTAGAATAGACTAAAAAGAATAAATAAAATAAAAATAAATAAGCAAAAATAAATAAATAAAAATAATCAATCCAAATAAATAAATATATAAAGTAAATGATAAACAAATTATCAAACCACTCCTGCTAAAATAACCATTAGGTATAGACTACAACAATCAATCCAAAAATTGGATGAAAAAATAGCTAAAATTACCTTCCCAGACCAAAACAAACTACCAAATAAATGATCAGAACTCACCTCAAATTTTTTTCTATGTTACTTAAAAATCAAAAAACGAAAAGAATAAATAAAAATGAATAAAAATTAAAAGCAAAGTTCACTTAAAGTTCTAAGTTTTTTAGTATTTTCCATTTTCCTTTAGGGATTTTATTAACTTCTTTTAAGTTCCATAAATATTTAGAAAGGGACGTCCTATTTCTGTATGCATTATTGGTGAAAGATAATATATGTTGGTACCATTTAGCTTTAAAGGAATTCTTGGTACACCCAATATAAAATATTTTAACTGTTGGATTTTCTATGCTAGAAATAGTGCTTAGGTAAACAAGAGAGTGTGTTTGACACTTATTTTGTAATTGATACTTGTTAGAATTTCTACAATTACACTTGTTTTTTTGTTCTCTCATTTGGATATATATATATATATATATAAGAAATGGACAAAGTCCGACAATTTATTTATTAAAGACATTTTTTTTATGTTTAACGTTCTTTTTTATAGATACAAGTATTTAAGTAAATGCTCTGTTTATAATAAACAGTATTAAATAACATTTACCGAATCCTGTCAAAAGACGAATATTTTCTATGAAAATTTCTC